GTGACTGCTGTTTTTGGATCAACAATTAAGAGGAGGAAGATCTGGAGATTCCTCGTACGGCACAATCTGTGACTTCACTAAAGCCCGACTCCCAAAAATCAAGAACCCGACAGAGAACCCTGCCACAGCAGCCACCATGACACCAACGTTAAACGACATCACAGCAAGCATCACCAAGTAAGCGAGAGCAACCCTTATTCCATACATCGCCGTCTGCAACAGCCCCGCGGTGACGTTGTCTGCGGACTTCGATTTGATTATTCTGGTGTGTGACAGCCACTCCACGACAAGTGAGATGGAAAACACAAGAGTCAAACCAAACACGTAGCAATGAAAGGTTTGCCCCGGTACTCCAGGGAATATGTCTCCGGTGGTTTTGCCCCATAATAATGTCATCTCTCTCATTTTCTGCGCGTTTGCAAAGAATCTGGATTTCGATTCAAAGAAAATAAAAGGGAATGGTTGTACAATTGTCGGCTGCATTATTTTTTTTGTACTTCTTTGAGTTTGCAGTACACGAAAACCCCCTACTTTTCATTCTGATGCGTTTTGGGGTAAAGCAGTACTAGCAAAAGGCATGTGGCGTGGAAAAGTGGAAAAAATGCGAGGTACTCGTGGCTCCTTCTTGGTGAATCTTGAATGCAGATGGACGAAATGTGCATTACATCTGAGGAAATATTCTTGGTTGTCTTTCGCAGTGGAAATCTATTGCGGTTGAATATGGGATTTGAGATTACGAATGTATGTACTACTCATCTAATGTGAGTATTTGTAGTACAGACTTTTTTTTAACAATGTCATCAATAATCACTAATATATTAGTACTTTTTTATATATATAAGGTTTTATTGGGCTAATTTTATCTTGTTAAAAATAAATTATCTACGTCAAATTAGTAAATTTATAAAAAAAAAATTATTTTTTATTTAAGTAATCAAATCTTAATTAACAAAAATAAAAAACAAATCTCTCTGCCAATTAAACAATAATTCATTTAATACTAAGAATTGAGATACTATAAAATTAGGAAAATGATTATTACATTAAAGTCCCAAAATTCTATTTGATAGTTGTTTATGTTTTTACTTGGTAATGTAACTATATTTGAGAAATTTTATTATTATATGAGCTTGTTGCTGAATCAAGTCCTATAAAATTATGAGTTTTTCAACCCGTTTTGAAAACAGGAAACAACATGCTAACTAACATGGATATCATTTTGCCAACAACTTAAAGCATTTAGTGATAATTATTTTTTATTAAAAGTAAAAAATTTTGATTTTAAATCATATGATATACAAACAAAGTGAAAAAAATGACATAAAAAAATTATCTCTTGTTATACAACTAAATTAAAAAAAAAAAAAGAAAACGTCAATACCATTTTTTTTCAAACAATAACATATTTTGAGAAATATAAATTTAAACTAACACCATGTTGCTACGGGCTATTAGCAGTTGGCCCATAAGCCCAGGTGTCATATTATAACTTTATAAGTCATTGTTGAAGAGTCAAATTGCGTGACAATAGGAACATGTTTTTTTTTTTTTTTTACAAAGATAATGATTAAGAAATTAGTAAATTAGTTGTTAGCAATTGGTTCTCAAACTAAATGAACATTTCATCCTTTTAAATGAGGCGCGCGGCCATCAAACCGCTTTTTGATAGAGTTCACAACGGTGGTAGAACTCGAAATTCCGACCACCTCACCCAAGCACTTAAAATTTGAAGTCAAACCATTGAATCTAAACATCAATTCGACAGTAGGAACATGTTATTCAGATTGAAGACGTTTTAACAAAAAAAACTCTGATTGGCAAGTCAAAGATAATATTATTAAGCAAATAACAATCATTGCATGTGTTCTGAAAGGTGAAGCTATCTATTCCAATTGAAGAAATAAGAAAGGAAAATAATCTCTGCACATCCAGTTTAATATATATTTGATCATATATTTTTTTTAATTATTAAAAATATAATATAAATATAATTAATTCAATCAATTTTTAAATTTTATGTGTATAATTATATTTTTAAATTTATTTATTTTTAATTTTATATTAAAAAATAATAATATTTAATAAATATATTATGTATTAAATTGAATTGAAGGGTATTCTAATTGCTGTTCAATCAGAAGACAACAATCACACATTTTTAAGTGATTGGTTCCAGCATCAGAATCTTCAAAACTACTTTGTTGACACTTCTCCTGCAGCCGAAGGCAGGATTTATTCAAGTCAAACAGATTAATTTCATCGGCGCTGACCAAAGAAAAAAACAAATCAGTCTGATCACCATCAAAGTTGTTTAAATTCACAGCTACTGTCTATGCAAATCCAGAGAAAAAAAAATCAATGGAGAAACAAGGGGAAAATGTCCGGCAACAGCGGCTGGTGATCGTGGGTTATCCATTTCAAGGTCACATAAGCCCCATGCTCCAACTAGGCACCATCCTCCACTCGAAAGGCTTCTCAATCACAGTAGTCCATCCTGAGTTTAACTCACCAAACCCTTCAAAGCATCCTGAATTCACCTTCGTTGCTATTCCGGATAAGCTGTTAGAGTCCAAGGTCTCAGCTGGGGATTTTCCTGGCATCGCCTTGGCTCTTAATAGGAACTGTGTAGCACCATTTCAGAACTGCATGGAACAGATACTGCTTGAGAAGGATCCAGGTGAGAATATTGCAGGTATCATATATGATACCCTTATGTACTTTGCTCAATCTGTGGCTGATCATTTCAAAGTTCTGGGAATCAGTGCTCGAACCAGCGCGGCTGCCACAATTTTGGCCTTTTCTGTGTTTCCTCGTCTCCATGGAGAAGGTTACATCTCCTTTCAAGGTATATTCCTGGATATATATTCCTTTTTCCTAGTAAAAGCCAGAAATGCTATGGAAATGAAGGCCTAATAACAATTTTCTGAGTTGCAGATTCTATTTCTGATGGTGGAAGTCAAGATCTTCAATCCATCAAGATCAAACAGCTTCTTACATCTTTAGCAGAAAATCCCACCAATTCTGCGTTAGAGTTGAGGGCTGCATTAACCAGGGAAACAAAGAAAGCATCTGCCATCATTGTGAACACAATGGACTTCCTTGAACAGGAAGCACTAGCAAAGATCAAAGAGCACTTCCCAGCTTCAATTTTCACCATAGGTCCATTTCACAAACTAGCCCCCCCAATTTCCACTTCATTGCTCAACGAAGATTCTAGCTGCGTCTCATGGCTTAACAAACAAGCCCCAAAATCTGTGGTCTATGCAAGCTTTGGTAGCCAGGCCACCATTGATGAAGAAGAGCTAGTTAACATGGCTTGGGGACTGGCCCACTCAGAGCAGCCATTCCTCTGGGTGGTTAGACCTGGTTCAGTCCGTGGCTTCGAATGGATTGAGTCTCTGCCAGAGACATACCATGAAAGAGTTGGGGAAAGAGGCTGCTTTGTGAGATGGGCGCCACAGAAGGAAGTGCTGGCACATAGCGCGGTTGGCGCATTTTGGAGCCATTGGGATGGAATTCTACTCTTGAGAGTATCTGTGAAGGTGTGCCATTGTTATGCACACCTTTCTTTGGTGATCAAATCTTGGATTCAAGGTATATTTGCAATGTGTGGAAGGTAGGCCTAGAAGTGGAGAAAGGGAAGATAGCTGAAGGTATAAGAAGACTGATGAAGGATGAAGAAGGGATGGAAATAAGAAAGCGAGCAATGGATTTGAAGGAGAAAACAGAGGCTTGCCTAAGGGAGGGCGGTTCTACAATCACTTCTTTGAGTAAGTTCTCAAAGCAGTTATATCGTTAGGCTAATATGAAGCACTCTGCTACTCCAATTACTATCTTTTACCAGAACAATTTACCGTTTCATACCGGCCGTACCGGCCGGTATGACTGGTCGATAGGGTAGGTGCATATCAATTTTTGTATTAATTTGAAATTGTATAAAATTTAATTTTATTTTGATGAAATTCTGGTGTATCCTCCGATATAAATGTGTCGGTAAAAGAAATCAATTCAAATTGAACAAAGTAATGCTAGGGGCACTCGCCTCCTGCACTCTCCAACCAACACATGCTTTTTTGTTGGGCCACGTAAGTTTGCTCCAAAGACGTGAAATCCACCTCTTTCAATCAAAATAACGTGGGCCAATGAAAATGAAAGTGTTGGTTGTAGAGTGCAATTGGCGAGTGCCTCTAGTATTGCTGAATTAGAAAATGTGTCAGTACAAAATGAATTTAAATTTGAAAATTGTGTCGGTACGAAAACAATTGAAATTTGAAAAGGTAAAATTATTTTTGGTCCTTGATTTTAAAGTTTTATGTATTTTTTATTTTTTATTTTTTTATATATTTTTTTAATTCATTAATTATGAAAAATATATTTTTTTAATTTATTTATCAGTTATTTAGTTAAGTTTGTTTAAACAAATATATTTAATGTTAAAAAAAAAAAGAAAAAAATTATGAATATTTTATGAAATTAATTATTTTAAACTTATTTTCAATTGAAAAAACTGTCTTACAATCTATCTTATAGTCAGTGGCGGAGCCAGGGGGTGCGACGGGGCGCTCGCCTCCCCTGAAATTTGAAAATCTTTTAAATCAGTATATAATTAGTATATAAAAAATTATCTAATCCTCCCTAAACTTTAAAAATTTTAGCATCTTACCCCTCCTGAAAAAAATTTCTGGCTCCACCCTTGCTTATAATGGATTATAAGATCAGGACTATCAAAGGAGATGGGCCTTTGATATCGGCCCATCTCCCCCTCCTTTTTATGGCCATGATCTCACAGTCCATTACAAAATGAACAGTAAGATAGCACTTTTTTTTCAATTTATAAAAATATATATTTATAACAATAAATTCAAAATATATCATGTCATAATTGAATCAATAATAATAATAATAAGTTTATCAAATATATATTTAAATAGCGTAATAAATATATTTTTTTATAATTAATTTATATAAAAAATTAAAAAATTAATATTCACTTTAATACTTTTAATAAATGAATTGATTAAATTAAAATCAATATTTATATTTTTATATAAATTAATTATAAAAAAAACTAATATTTATCTACTTGATTTTTAAAAATTAAAATAAATATTAATATATTATTTTAAAATTATATCATTTTAATAATAAGTTATTAAACGAAACGACCAACTACGTCTATATATTAACTATGTCCTTACCGTACTGTATGGGAAAGCACGTTAAAAAAATCATCTGAAAATTTTGTGAACCTAGCAACTCACTCGTCTTTGTTTTCAGATTCATAGAATCATTTTGTTCTCAATTGGTTTCTCGAATATGACAAACTCAATTATTGTGTTAACAACAAAGCAAAATCAGTTTTATGAAGGAAAGGGGGTTCTTTGATGAAAGATTCAGTATCTAGTACGTTTTTAGCAAATGGAAAAATCTGGACAGGGATGTTGCAGCCCGCGGCGGGTGGTCTTGGTGCCGGCGCCATTCCAAGGCCACTTGAATCCAATGCTTTATCTGGGTTCCATCCTTCATTCAAAGGGCTTTTCCATCACTGTTGCTTACATCAACTTCAACTCCCCTGACCCTTCAAATCATCCTGATTTCCAGTTTTTGCAAATTCCGTTTGATCCATCGGAGCTTCTCCAAATCTATCGTGGGGAGTATATAACCTTTATGTTGATGCTGAGTGAATACTGCGAATCCCCTCTTCTTGAATGCTTCTCTCAGATAAAGGAAAAACGGGATGACTCTGAGAAGATCAGCTGCATCATCCATGATGAATTCATGTCTTTCTCTTCCGCAGCGGCCACCCGTCTCAAGCTTCCGAGCATCATCTTCCGCACCTCCTGCTCCACCACCTTTATCTCCCGACATTGCCTTCTCCATCTCACCATAGAAGGTTATAAAGTTCTGTATTTTCTACATTCTTCTCTGAAATTTTGATTTTCTGTTGGGAAGATATGACTGTGGGTTGTGTGAATGCAGATCTTGATTCAGAGGAGCTGGTACCGGAACTTCCATATCCAATCAGGTTCAAGGATTTACCTCTCAACACACTTGGAACATTGGAAAATTTCTTGAAGCTCGTGGTTAATATAGAGAATACAAGAAATTCTTCGGCCGTCATTTTTAACACAATGGAATTCCTCGAAGAGTCATCGTTGGCAAAAATCCGTCGAGAATCCCATTTCCCGATCTTCCCTATTGGGCCAATGCACAAAATTGCTTCAGCTTCTGCCGGTAACTTATTAGAAGAAGACCGGAGTTGCCTTTTATGGCTCAACAAACAAGCGGACAACTCTGTACTGTATGTAAGCATGGGAAGCGTCGCGTCAATGGAGGAGAAAGATGTAACTGAGATGGCGTGGGGCTTGGCTAATAGCAAGCAGCCTGTTCTGTGGGTGGTTCGACCCGGATCGATAAAGGGATATGAATGGATTGAGAGCTTACCGGTGGGGTTGATGGAGGCGGTCAGAGAAAGGGGATATTTTGTGAAATGGGCACCCCAGAAGGAGGTCTTGGCTCATCCGGCCGTGGGAGGGTTCTGGAGCCATTGTGGGTGGAACTCGATCGTGGAGAGCCTCAGTGAAGGAGTTCCGATGATATGTCAGCCGTGTTTTGGTGACCAGAAGGTAAATGCGAGGTGCTTGAGCCATGTCTGGAAGGTGGGATTGGAGTTGAGGGGAAATTTGGAAAGAGGAGAAGTGGAAAAGACTGTGAAAAGGTTAATGGTGAAGGACGAAGGAGAAGAGATGAGGAAAAGAGCTATGGATTTAAAGAGGAAGGTTGAGATTAGTATTAGAGAAGGGGGCTCTTCTTACAGTTCTATGAATGAATTAGTAGGATTAATAATGTCATTTTGATTTCATGTATTATCCAAGAGTTGAACCGTTTCTTTGCAATGCATCGAGTTTCAATGATCATTTCAGATTCTACATGGCTCTGGTCCTGTTTTTTTATTCCTTTATCGTAGTTTTTCTTGAATTCAAAGGATTGGATGTATTCTAGATAAGATTTCTCAAATAAATAATTAAATTCTTATTGACCTTAAATGAAGTTTGTGTGTACAAAGCTCAGGTAGGTGATGACTGACTCTCAGGCCATCATTTATCTATTTTAGTTCTTGACAGCCTTCAGATTACGGAGATGGAGGCGAAAAGGGGCAGATGCTAGCGACTGGTGCTTGTTCCTTGTCCTTTCCAGGGTCATATTACTCCAATGCTTCAGCCAGGCCATATCCTCCGCTCCATGGGCTTTTCCATTACAATTGCACACACCAAATTCTATTTTCCTGATCCATCTGATCACCCTGATTTCGCCTTCCTACCCATCTCTGATGACCTGTCCCATCGTGATATCTCCTCCATGGACTTCATATCTATGTTCTCGAGTCTTAACTCGAGCTGCAAATCCCCCTTGTTGCCGTCAGTAACACAGATCATGGAAAAGCAGGTGCATCATGATGTGCTTTTGTGCTTAATTTATGATGAGTTCATGTACTTTGCAGAAGCTGTGGCTCATGAGCTCAAACTTCCAAGCATCATCTTGACAACAGGCAGCGCTGCTAACTTACTAATCAGTTCCTAGACTCCAGAAAGAGGGTTACATTCCCTTCAAAGGTATGCCTTTCGCTTTCGGAAATAATATCATGATTTTCAATTCAAATCATGCCTATTCAAGATGATATTTTGAATGTAGATGATAGGTCTCTATACTTGTGCCTGGAAATCATCCCCTCAGATTCAAGGATCTGCCCATATCCTATTTCCCTAATTTAGATGCCTTACTGCAACTGTTAGCCTCAGCAAGTGACGTGAGATCATCAACAGTTATCATATGCAATAGTATTGACTGCCTTGAATAGGAAGCATTGGAACAGCTTCAACAACTATGTAAGGTTCCAATTTTTCCAATAGGTCCTTTACACAAAATTGCTTCAACTTCCACCAGCAGCTCAGCAAAAGAGGATAGAAGGTGCATAGAATGGCTAGACAAGCAAACCCTTAACTCTGTTCTATATGTAAGCCTAGGAAGCATAGCTTCCGTGACTAATAAGGATATCAGGGAAATGGCTGAAGACCTGGCCAACAGCAGGCAGCCTTTCTTGTGGGTGCTCAGACCAGGCTCAATATTACTTGAAGATTTCAATGAAATTGTCAAAGATAGAGGATACATAATGAACTAGGCACCACAAAAGGAAGTATTGACACATGAAGCAGTAGGAGGCTTTTGGAGCCACTGTGGTTGGAACTCAACCCTGGTAAGCATTGCCGGAGGCATTCCAATGATATGCCAACCATATTTTGGGGACCAAAAGGTGAATGCACGGTATGTGAGCCATGTGTGGAGAGTTGGCTTGGAAATTGAGAATAGTATAGGGAGTAAGGAAATAGAAAATTCCATAAGAAGGCAGATGGTGGATGACGAAGGGAAGGAAATGAGGCAAAGAGCCATTAATTTGAAAGAGAAAATCATTTTACATACCAAGGAGAATGGTTCTTCATACAATTCCCCGAGGGAATTGACAGAACACATCTTGTCATACTAATTCAACATCGGCAGCGGTCATTATGTATCAAATAAAAACAACATTTCCCCTTCCAATTGAGTACTAATGTAAATCAATTTACCCAGAAAATATAAGCTTCCATTAGTTTATTTTCTAGCTTGCCTTCCACTACACCATTAAAAAAGAGCCTACTCCAGAATCATTTCAAAATTTTCTATTAAATGCACCATCCATTTGGGAACAACATTTTAGATAAATAAGGCTTTAGAAACCCATTTCAGTATATAGCATAGAAAACACAAAACAATGAAAAAGCTAAAGACAGTTTTAAACAGAAAGATAATGAAGCTTGGGAAATTTGATTAGCTATTTCAAACTTCCAAGTACACCATCTCTCTGTCAATACTATTAACAATAACCAAACACCATACATGCAAAGCCGAACACTGATTATAAGTTAGTACACTAAGAGACATTAGGCTTTTTCACCATACATGCAAAGGCGAACACACCATACATATCATACCACAAACATTCTCTTATTTATCTGTCGCAGGAGAACGATGACTTACAATTTCAACCAGAAATCTGAATAGCCTTAACATTAAGCTTCTTCACCTCTGCCTTAGGGACAGTCACAGTAAGCACTCCATTCTCCATCGAAGCCTTAATCTGGTCCAACTTGGCATTTTCGGGCAATCTGAACCTCCTCATGAACTGCCCGCTGCTGCGCTCCACGCGATGCCAGGTATCATTCTTATCTTCCTTCTCAATGTTCCTCGCCCCGCTGATTTGGAGCACCCTGTCGTCCTCAACCTCAACCTTCACCTCTTCCTTCTTAATTCCCGGAAGATCAGCCTTGAACACGTGTGCTTCTGGAGTTTCCCGCCAATCAACTCGAGTATTGACGAAGGCAGAGGTCTCCGGAGAGAACGAGGTGAGAGGGGAAGGGAATTGGAAGTCCCTGAAGGGATCCCAAACGTCAAGAGAGAAGGGATCGAAGACGCTGTTGCGGCGGTTTCCGAAGAAGCTTGGAATCAGAGACATTCCCCCGGCGAACAAAGAACAGACGATCGGAAAACCTTGGTCAAGGAATCACTCGGATGATTCGAGTAGCACTTGTTGTACGCTTTACTTATTTTCCTTTTTACCCCCGAGGGAAGGAGAGTGCTGACGTCCGTATTTATAGGTCTTAAAAAGAAGTTTCTAGAACCAAACCATTTTTTTCCAGATTTATCCAGTGCTCGAATGTCGATCAACTATGATGTGTACTCTCGGACATTCTGGAGATTTTCTGAATCCTTTTATTTTGGGCTTTCTGTTAATAAGATGAGCCCACCAAGCCCTCAATGGACTTCCAACTGTTGTCCTCTTGCGGCCCCAAAAAAAAAGAAACTGCCTGAGTTAATGTTTAGTGTTTTGGGCCTGAAAACTGTCTAGTGTGTTTTTGGCCATCCAGTGTCTGTTTAGTGTTTACTACCAAACCACAATGTTTTAGGAGATCAATTCTTCATTTAAGAAAATTAAAATCCGGGAAAAATGTTACATTTATTGTCGTTTCTTCACATGAGCAATTTGACTTCATGGACAGAAGCTCGATCCTATTCTTAATTAATAAGTTTCTTGTTTTGCGGTTCAAATTATATCAAATTGTAAAATAATTATTATTTAATAAAAAATATTTCTTAATATTTTTAAATTTATTTAATTTAATAATTTAAATTATATAATTTAATATAATTCATATTATATAACATTTTTGTATTAATTAATTTTGCAATTAGAAGGCAGTAGTAGTTAAATTCAAAGAGGAATCCATAAATTAGTTACTCCAGGGTTCACATGTTCAAGTGAGATAGGATTTTTTGCGATATCATTTTACTACTCATAAAATGGAATGCTGATGCATTCCGTACGGATTCCCATGGTTTTGTCCCTGCTGTTTTCACCTTCATTGACAATAGTGGGAATAGCATATTAGTCTGTCTTGATAGGCGAGACATGGGGGCAAGTGTCGGTGATGATTCTTTTTTCTCAATGGTGGAAAACATATTTAGGAATGGGAGGATTCACCGAACATTTTACAAAGAACCAACGTACTTTCCAACAACTTCCTAGGATTACCATCCAATAATTGATGATGTTAGTTTAAGGTTTAGGGTTCCTTACCTCTTACCATGGGGATAATTAATAATCACTCTAATGTGTCCAAGGGCATCAAACAAATCAATAACTTATAATCACTTTAATTGATGGTGTTTGTTTAAGGTTTTGAGTTTTCATTTATATACATATGGTACTAGTACAAACAAAATGAGAATTAATAATTAATAATGTTTGGAACATATTTTTTTTATACAACCACGTATAATATGAGAATCTTATGATATAGTTTGTGAACTATATTTTTTTTAATTATTAGAAGTAAATTATGTCACTAATCTAAAAAATATGGATTTTAACATTTTAAGTTCTTAACAAATTAACTTGAGATCTTATTGATTAATTAAGAACATGTTAGGCCTTGATTGATAATATTTTTAATAAGTTTGAGTTTTTAAGTATAAATATTCATGAAGAAGGCCTGCTGACCTAATAGTCCAACAGCTTAATGTAAGTCTTTTATCATGGTAAATGTTCGATCTCCCTCCTTCTCTCCCGAACTGCTTACCCTAATTAAAAAAATATATATATATAAATATTCATGAATTCAATAATTAATTATGGGGATTTTTTTAAAATGAAAATTAATTAGTTAGTAGTCACTGGCTTAAAATTCTTTTGGAAAGAAGGATGACAATAGGTATTGATTGGCCCTGTTAAAATGGCCTAATAGGGTCTTGGAATGACATTTCACAGCTGTTTGGTCAAATTGATCAGACAAACAAGTGTCTACAAAAGATGACATCTAAATAATTGTCATGTTTTATTTTTTGGCTTAATGTTAGGTTTTATATCACATCATAGTCTGCTTAGTTATAAGAAAAAGAGATACAAGTGGGTAACAAAGACAACATAATGTTAAGCGCAAAGATGCGATGCCATCCAATTATTCCATTTCCAAAAGACAAAAACAAGAAAAAAAATTCAAATCAATAAAATTAATATGAAAGAGAGTTATTCTTAATTAATTAATTAATTATCCCAAAAAAAAAAAAAAAAAACAGAAAGTGGTGTAGATGGTGTGAGTCTGATGAGGAGCTGTGTTAGGACCTTCTTGTTATGGTCATATAAACTTTTTTTAAGGCCATACAAATAAGTAGTAAATTTATTTAATTTAATTGATTTTATCAATTTATAATTAATTAAAGTGTTTTAAAATATTAAAATATAAATTAATTTTAAATTATTAAATAATAAATATTAATTATTTAATAAATTAATAATTAATCATTATAATTATCAATTAATCTTGACAATCCAACCAACCATTCATCCAACATCTGTGTGACCCAAAGAAACGTTTTCGTGGCAATAATAACCATAAAAGACAAAGGCAGAGCTGCTATGAGTGCATACTGATACAACGCTCATAGGCAAATGTGATTGCATTATCACTGCAAAGAAAGTGACTTGAAATTGAAAGAATCAATTTTCTTGGATCTATTGAGTACTAATAATACCAAATCACCCCCCATATCTCTCCGGCTCTGTGTTCCTTCTAACTATGATTTTTCCCTCTCAACCCGTTATTTTTTATTTTTTATTAATTTTTTAATATTTGGTAACCAAATCCGATTTATTTAGAATCGAATTATATTAAATTTTATTAAGGAAAAATCTTTATCAACGTTTGTTTCTCTATTCATACAACTCGAACTCAATATCTTATTTAAAAAAATTAAATTTCTTCCACTTGAATTAACAAATCATTAACCTACTTGTTTTTTTTCTTGATTAGTAAAAGTGGTAACTTTGAAAAAAAATAAATAAATAAAAGTGGAAACTTTAGGTACCATGGCGCGGCCTCAAAAGCATATCATCTTTGTTTTCCTTTTTGTTTTCTTGATTTTTTAAATTTATTTTTCACTTTTGAATTAAGGAGATTGTACGTCTAATATTCCAATTAAGTTCTTTTGCATAAAAAGTTTCGAAAATGACCACAGGAAACCCTTTAATAATATATCTAGTTCGGTGGGGTTGAGGATTTTTTCGATAGAATTATTTTTTTTTAATATTAATTTTTTTGATATTTAATAACCATAAAAAAATAATTTTTTAATATTTATTTTTCATTTAAAAGATTTAAACTTAAAATTATATTCTTTTCATTCAAATTAATATATAATTGATAAATAGAATTATATTCTATGGTTAATATTATATATTAGACTGCAGAGTTGGAACTTAATATTTATCTTATTGGTTAAATTTTAGTTTTCTTTTTTATAAAAATAATAAAATATAAATTTTTATAAAATGTTTATTCTAACATAAATAATTTATTTTTTATTAGACTAAAAAAATTAACTTTGAAATATATTTAAATTAGATCGGAAAAACCCTGACGAGAGCTAAACAAAAAACAATTTATGTTGTAGAAATTTTTTTTAATAATTCTGAAATTAATATAAAATTAATATATTTTTTATTATTTATCTTTAAATACATATTAAAAGTATAATAAATATATTAATTTATATTAAAATAACAAAAATTGATTTGAATTTAAT